AGAAGAGATGAAGAGGAGTGATAACCCAGTTTAAAATAGTCAGAGAGCAAAGCAGTAAAGAGCGACAGCATCTTTTAGGAACTTAATGTATTAAAGTATGTCCATCACTGAAGCATACATGCAGACAAACACAAAGATATGCACAGCATGACAAATATCACACTTAGCTGAAAGTGTTCATTCACCAGTTCTTCTTCAAAATACTGTTGCAAAGTTGAAAATAAGTAAATCTTACATTATTGACACCAGCTAAAGCCCATACATTTGACTTCTTGGCTGAGCAACGCAAAACCCGACAAATTGAGTACTAAAGGAAACATCACTTTTATTATTAGTCATCTGAAGACATCAGATACTGTATGTGTAGAAACCTGGAACTGAACGTGAACACTCACAGTGTGAGAATTTGACAGCTGAGTAAGCATCTCCAAGCCAACACACGTGCACACTAGTCTGTCTGGCATCTCTGTGTCAAAATCCATGTGCTCATTTGTGGCTAAATTTGTAGAAAACTGCACATATGTCACAAATGTATGTTTCACTGGAAGTTTACATAAACCGCAACATTTTGTATGATTGTTGGAGAAGTACACGTAATGTTCAGCATGCACAGACAATAGATTAGCTCTCAGTACCCAACCCCCAAAGACCCACAGAACACATACATTACTATGGGCCATTCATTAATGGACACCAGGATAGTAAATCATGTCAACCTACTCCCATTTACTGGTTTTTCAATTAAATGATTAACAGCGCATCTAAATTAGCATCTAAGTAGGCAAAATGAAATTCACTAGCTTTAGGTTTTCACTAGCATTTTCTTCTGCTTTACCAGGGCGATTTTTACCAAACATCCTAAGGTTGCTCCAAAAAAGCCACTAACCATACTTACTGAAATTCATACGCTGTCTCTCAGTTAGTTCAGCATTTGTTTACAGTCTGACTTTTGGATGTCAGCAATGAAGGATATTTGCTCTGCTTTGAGGTATTACCTGACAAAAGTAGCAGGCAGTATTATAAAAAACTAATTCCTCCAACGACGGTGGCTGTTTTTACAGTTTGTGACTATATTAGAGACACATTTCTCTGTTTAAATAAGATAAGATAAAATGAAGTTACAGTGGCAGAGGGACAGAAACAAGTCAGCTAATGTTAACAACAGAAAAGTAACAGACAAATTATTGTCAAGCAATGGGGAAATTCACAAAGTTACAGTGGCAGAGGGACAAAAACAAGTCAGCTAATGTTAACAATAGAAAAGTAACAGACAAATTATTGTCAAGCTGATATACCCAGTGTGACATGCAGTGGGTTTTGCATTAGCATAAGGTTCAGGGCCTAGCTCACCATCTGGTAAGGAGTGCAAGACTGTTATGAAGTTCAAGTAATGATTGTTCTTTTCACTCTTGTAAAACCCTTTAATCCTGTGTCTGGCCTGTTTTAGAGATTGAAGTTTTTCCACTTATAGAAATGCAATGTAAGACCAGGTTTTTCAACAGGCAACTGAGGACAGGCTGATAAACTTTGCAGTAAATCAAGAGAGTGGGTTTTCCAGATTGGGAGTGAGTCTATCTCCCTGTCTGGCTGCAGGACCTAGATTTGAAGAACCCTCTGGCCCAGTGATTGTTGACATTAATTCCCTGTGAATGCTCAGTGAGTGGCTAGGCCCTGTGTCTTGCTGCAGTAGATAATATCATTGCATGAGCTGCTGTATGCATTTTTATGCATGCACATTTTTTACATGCAAGTGTCTATAAACATTATACCAATTAATGTGTTAGCCTGTGCATGTGTAATACATGCAGGACAGAGGAGGGGGCTGCTTGTGCCCATCCCTGCAGATTGGATTTCCTCTCCTCCGCCACCCTAAACCCTGAGCTCTTCACTAGTAATCACCAATCAGGTTCTGGTTCTCTGACACTCTGACACTCAAATCTCCAAACAGCCAGATCTGGCAATGCCACAGACTTGGCAGCCCACAACATAGTAATGCCAGTCAGTGTGGAAACAAGCGCTGTGGTGATATGGTAATTGGTTTTTTTAGGGATCTGAGTGAGTGTGTGTGTGACTGCTGACTGGTAGTATTATTATAAGCGATAACACTCACACCCAGTGTGTCAGCAGTGGTCAGATGGACAGATGGGAGGAGAAAAGTCAGGTTGCGCTGCTGCTACCAACTGGGAAAGGTTGGACCAAAGGGGATCTTTGTCTCTCTCTATTTCATCTTTCTTTCTAACTCTTTTTTTCTTCTGTTCATCTTAACCAAGGAGTTTTTCACATGCTGGACACACCTAAAGGTAACCGACAGTTTGGTAGAGTCATAGGGAAGGCACATTTAACTCAAAATACACTGAAAAGGATGATGGAAAAGATGGAACATCCTTAATTGTCTGATTGAAAAACTATAATCACCTGTTCAGTTTGCAGATAATAGATATTTTTCTACTTTACTTATTTTGGTAATCATGTGTTCTACTGCTTCTCACACCTACAGCGGGTTATGTCACAGCAGACACACATTTTGAGGCTTTTGCAGCTCTGCATACTGTCTTGTGAACTAAAAACAAAAATGTAAAATGCTGCAGTAACATCCAAGGAAGGCTAGTGTTACTGGTGTTAGTTGCCTCTACCCCCTGTTGTGCTTTTGGGCTGAGGTTTGGGGCTTATGTGGTGTACTGTATGTATGATCTGTGTGTGTGTGTGTGTGTGTGTGTGTGTGTGTGTGTGTGTGTGTGTGTGTGTGTGTGTGTGTGTGTGTGAGATATTTTTTTTGCTGATGAAGTGAATCAGATATTTTTAGAGCTGAGCAATGCAGCATTGTCTTTGTCTGGATTTCCTGGACTGAGGACAGGGAGGTGACGTGTTTCCTCAAGGTCGTTCCTGCTTCACTACACTCATTTTATATATACATATGTTTGTGTGTGTGCATCTGTAAGTGAGTGCCAGAACTGTCATTTCAAAAACTCAGTTCGGCCTGATAATTAATCAAGTACTGATTCTTGAAATATGTTAAAGTGGATAAAAATTTGCTAGAGATTAAATGTAGTTTCCCATGCAGTATAACTTGTTTTTGATTGACGATATCTGATATTTATTTTTCTCCCTTGAAGAGAATTGTATTCATGTATAACGAGCACAGCTATTTGACCCATGATGCCAAAAAATACTTAAATAGAGACACAGCTGAAATGTTGTACAGTGTCTCCTCAGGCAGTTTGACCTCCTGCTATTTGTTGACCTAATTCTGGTGCAGACATGACCTTGCACAGTAGTCAGACATTTCTTACCTGATGTAATTTAACTTGGCTGGTGGCTTGTATGCTGGTGACTGAGAACAGAAAAAATAGCTGACCTCCATTTTAGAAATTAGGTTAATGCCTTAATGACTCCTCACTGCTACCAAAGGTGCTATTGATGTTATTATGTGAGTGGAAGATTAGCACATCCAGAATGTGATCATCACCCCAGGTTATCTGTAGGGGTCAACAGAGCCACCTGCTGGAAAAACAGTACAATTGTTTGACAAGTGGTATTGTGGATAAAGGATAAAGAAACTGAGTCATTCAAAATTTTCTCCTGACAACAGCCATTTGCCTCTTAAAAGTATCTTTGAGCTGAGTGACAACACAATGCCATATGTTTAATCTGTGTTTTGGTTTTTTCCCCCAGAACAACTACTTGGTGTTCATGGCAGAGCTGTTTTGGTGGTTTGAGGTAGTCAAGCCGTCTTTTGTAAAACCAAGAACGCTGGACAATGAAGGCACAGGCAAGTCTTAATATCTGACCTCACAGCAGAATTCATAGTAGCAATAACAACATCGGTGTCATGTGTAGAACAAAGTGGTGCAAAGTGTAAGAAGTAATGGTAATTGTAGATGTACCTCTAGGTGCATTTTATGTGAAACATACACAAAGCAAAATAATTAGTGAAGTACAGTATTATGTTGCTATCTATTGTGAAAGCCCAGTTTGAGCATTAGTGTCGGTTGTGTCACTGCAGATACCTCATCCTTGTTGAAGAGTCTGCCAACCATCCCCATCTCCAAGGCAACTAAGAGGAGCTTCATGGAAAGGCCGCCCAGCCCTGAAAGACCCAGGTATGTTAGCCCAAATTACAGAATTTAGTGTGAAATGCAGAGTATTTTCACTTCCAGTCCAGTGGAGCTCATTGGCCAGTAGTTTATTCTGGTTGGTGGACAACTCACAAATGTTAATATATCAGACTGATTAAACCAAATAAGATGTATAGCTCCTTATCTGGAAAAATTAAAGCTAACATGCACAATAAAATATATACAGTATGTTATTATGCATAACATGTCTGTCACGTTCTGTCTCTAGTTTGCCGCTGCGACCGCAGCCTCAAAACTCAGGTGATTTCATTCTTTCTTTCTTTAATGTTTCTCATAATTTTAGCAATAGGCATAAATATCAAAATATGATTACTCATAGGTACAATAACTTTTGTGTGGATTCTTACTTGACATATTTGTGTCATCCAGGAGAAATCAAGAGGTCAACCTCGATGTCGTTTGTTGATGGCAACCTTGGCACCTGGCCCAAAGAGAAAAGGTTAGTAGTGTTGCTGTGCTGTTCATTTAAAATATCCAATCCCCAAATGTATTAATTATCCCATGGGCATTAAGAAGATTATATCATGATTGCCAAAATTTTCAAGCTCTTGTCTGAAAAATCCTAAAAAGTATTTGGAGATTAGTTTCTTTTTTTTTGTTTTTTTGTTTTTTTTTAGGTCTGGGCCTTATGGAGTTTCTTTTGACATCCCCTTTGACAAAGAGGACTCTGCCCCTCCTTCATCCACACGTGGCATGGTCAGGTCCGTAAGCACTGATGATGGTTCTGGTTTCAAGGTCCATCACATGCCTCGTGGAATGAAGCGTAATCTCTCCTTCCAGCCAGTGAATGGTCAGAGTGTCGGCATTGAGGAGGAGGGCTGCCCAGACAGCCTTGCTGGTATGGAGCCTGGCCGGCCAGTTTATCCCACTGAGCATGGGAGTGACATGGCAGCACCTCCCTCCATGGAGGAGGCCCTTCAGATCATCCACAGTCCTAGCAGGCCCCCAGTGGAGGGGATCAACAGTGGTTTCTTCCTGCACAGTCAAGACCATAGGGCTGGTGTTGGTAGCTTGGGGCCAGTGTCAGAGTCAGACTCCAAAGGAACTCTGAGCACCACAGACACCACTGAGGTGGACACTGGTATCCATACCCGAACAGAGGACATGCTGGACGAGGATTCCTCTCTGAAAGACTACTCTGTGAACATGGACCTGGATATGGACACGCCAAGCCCTTGCCCGAGCAGTCAGAGTAAATCTCCCTCAGCAGTGAAGATGACCAGCTTTGCCGAACAGAAGCTGAGGAAGCTAAATCCATCAGCGCCAGACTCAGGGAGGAGCAGCAGCAGCTCCATCAAGACCACTCCTGAGGGCTCTGAGTTTGGCCTCCCATTATCTATCTCCTGGGCTCCAACCCCTGAGCACAGCCCCATCCATCAACAAACCACACCGCCCCTTACTGCTCAAGCATCATCAACACCTGTCCAGCTTCCACCCGATGACCCTGCTCAAGTTATGGCTACGGAGATGGTACAGCTGAGGATGAGGCTAGAAGAGAAAAGAAAAGCTATTGAAGCACAGAAGAAGAAAGTGGAAGCTGCTTTTACAAGGCATCGGCAAAAGATGGGTCACTCAGCATTTCTCAGTGTGGTAAAGAGAAAAGGGGATGGGGCTGCTAGTGGAGAGGAAGCAGGGAAAACTGAGGGTGAAGGCAAGGCAGTGAGCTCAAGTCCCACCTTTACATTTGGGAGGAGCAAGGCAGACACACCTGATGGGGCAGAGCAAAGCAGCACAGGTTCCTGCTGGACAAAGTCACCTGGTGCAGGAGAGGAAGGTGGACAAAGTCATGCTCAACCAACAGAAGTGGATCTCACAGAGTACACACGTTCTATTGAGAAACTCAACCATTCTTTAGCCTTTCTCCAGACTGAGATGCAGCGTTTGGCACAGCAGCAGGAAGTGATCATGGCCATGAGGGAGCAACAACATCAGCAGGCGTGGGTCATCCCTCCTCCACATACAAATCCCTTGACACAAAAACACAGCCGAGCCGGAGCTGTTACCCGATCCTCAGGACCCTCTTCTCCCGTCGACTCCCCTCATTTCACCCATCGCTCTCCAACCAGCATCAAACGCAAATCTGCCTCTTTCCATTCACGTAATCCCCGCACCGCTCGGCCCAGTGAGCTCAAGCTGGCCCCCTACAGTCGAGTCCTAACAGCCCCACAGTCTGTTGATAGCATTCCAAGGCTACGCCGATTTTCTCCATGCCAGCCTTTGGCAAGTACCTTTGTTTACATGGGGGAGAAACCAGCACCCACCAGTTCAGAGACAGTAGTCCCAGATGGAGATAAAAAGATTGATTCCCATCTTTCTCCAGAGAGGGAGCCTGCCAGTATATGTGTAGCCAGCTCACTCCCAAACTCCCCCAAAAGAGAACAAGTAGATTCAATGGCCAAAACCCAGGAAACAGGGGCTGACAGCCCATCTAAGATCACTGACATGGGAACAGTTGACCAGAAAGCTCAAGTTCAGAAGCCAGTTGTACATTTCAAACCTACCATAGAGTCATCATTCCCTGAGATTCTGGCCCACCCTGTAATAGAAACCTTCAAAGTAATGCCAACACAGATTCCTCCCCAACCTGAAGCGTCAGGCCAAGCAAAGAGCAGCTTGATTGAGGTTCCTCTGTCAGTACTGAAGCCACTGGAGGACCTGACACTTGATGATGATGATTTGGAGATGCAGCAGGGTAATGTGGAAGGCCTGGATGAGGAACAGAAGATGTGCTGTGGTTTCTTCTTCAAGGTAGGGTGTTGTTCCAAAGGATTTCTGTCAGTGTTTTACATAAAGATCATTTTAGTCATTTCATTCATTTCATTTCTGCCCATTATCTAGACCACGTAGCAGCTTCTCTTTCTAAAACTAATGAAATGTGGATTTGCACAAAGCCAGAATATGTTATGTATATGTTATGTCCCTATTTATGGGTTGTAAGATGACTTGCTAGCTGCAGTCTGGGCTTTGATGTAGGTCAGAAAACGGGGGCTCTGAATAATTCAGGCACAGCTGTTGAACTGCAGGCTGCAGAAGTGTTAAAGCGAATAGACTGTGAGGGTGGATAGTGAGGGACGAGCAAAGGATGTTCAGCTGAAATATTAAATTATATTAAAATTAGCAGCCTGGTATTCCTATGTTGTAACAACTAGATGTGAAGGTAATTTGTAGTTTTAGTGGTGTAGTAAGCATGAGTTTATATTTATAACACATTTAGAGTGTGTATAAGGTGTAACATTTAATAAAACCTTTGCCTTTGTCAGCTTTTCCTGTCACATTTAAATATACAAAAGAGAGCCAACATTTTACAATAACAGCTTTGGTTTTGGATTCATTGTTCCTTATATCAAATTAGATGAATAAAGTGATTTAGGTAGTACTACACAGTAATAACTCTCAACTCAGCATGTTTTATCTACAGCTTGAAGAATTGTCAGCTTTGCTTAATGAACAGCAAATCAAACAATAATATTCTGTAAAATATTCAGTAAATGTTACAGAAGTTTTATTCTGCTTAGAACACCATTTATTCCATGGATTATAATGTGGCTGACTTTGTGTTCTTCATTGCTCAGGAGGACGGAAAGGCTGAGGAGAACATGGCCCAGAAGAGGGCTGCGCTGCTGGAGAAAAGGATGAGGAGGGAGAAGGAGAGCCAGCAGAGGAAGATGCAGCTGGAAGCTGAGCTGGAGCAGAAGAAGGAGGAAGCTCGGTATGGTGATACATCTGGACAAGTTCATATACAGTCAGAAATTACTGTACAGGAACAAAAAGACAGAACGCTTCTTAAACGTTGCTGTGTTTATAATTGCTTAATTTTTAGTGTTATAGCCAAGTCAGATTTTTTTTTTCTTTGTTATGTGAGCCTCTGCAGAGTCAGATTTTCATTTTTTCACCCTAACTTGTGATGTAAAAGACTGTGGAGAGAGAGAGACAAGAAAAACTGCAGAAAGTAAAGTACATTACACATACATTTGGCCACATTTTCCTTTTAACATCCTCAGATTGCTTGTTTTGTCCAGCCAGCAGTGAAAACACAGATATATTCAAATTAATTTCAGAAAAGACAAAGAAAAACAGCACATCCTCACATTTGAGAAGCTGTTTAGAAAAATTATTTGAATAAGTTATCAATCACCAAAATAGTTGTTGTCAGTCATTTCCCATCAGTCAACAAATCTATTAATCAAAAAATCGTTTCAGCTTTAGTACACAGTTCTCAATATCTTGAAATGAGACATAAATTAGATAACTCTACGTGTAAGTAAAATGTATACAGTATTATATATAAAATTATTTACTCCCCTTCCACTCCTCTGTTCTGTCTGTTCAGATTGAAAGCCGAGGAGGAGCGTATCAGGAAGGAGGAAGACAAGGCCAGGAGGGAGTTCATCAAGCAGGAATATCTCAGGAGGAAGCAGCTCAAACTGATGGAGGACATGGACTCCGTCATTAAACCTCGACCAGCCAGCGGGGCCAAGCAGAGGCGGTGCCGGCCAAAGTCCATCCATCGCGACAGCATGGACTCCCCCAAAACCCCTGTTCGAGCTGCCACAGGTAACCATGGAAATAGATAGGCATTGTTGTTAATCTATCTGTGTCCATGTGGCTTTTATGTGTATGACTGGGTGCACGAGTTCACTGTCATAGTCACAGCACTGAGGCTGCATTGTAAGAGGGTTGACGTAAAACACAGTGGACAGCAGCGGACAGCCCGGTGATGTTGTCTTTTGTGGCGACAGTATAATTGTGCTGTGCTGTGCCACATCTCATTGTCTCACACCCAGATTCATGCCAATGTGTCTTTTCAGTGTCCAGCTTGTCCCTGGCTTCCCTCAACCTGGGAGACAGCGACAGCGTTCAGTCTGAGAAGAGGACACTGAGGTGAGATGTTGTTATTATACGAAGTCTCTAAATGCTGAAGTAACATGTCAAATATAGTGAAGTGGAATTTGGTGAAGGCCTTTAATTACAGTGCAAAGTTTGATGATTCTAGGGTTTTATTCATTGATTTCATATCCACACAATTTTGATTCAGTCAGGAACATAGCAGTGTGATGTGTTTAGTAAGTACTAATGTCTCAGTGGATTCATGCCCCTTTGTTGTTTACGTAAAGATCAAGACAGGAGTCAAAAAGTGTGAAAATCTTGGAAGTGCCACCAAAAGAACAACACTGATCATGTTGAGAACAATACACCATCTGAATCTGATACTAGACAGATACGAGACCATGTAAATAAGCATTAAACCATGTGTAGCATATAGAGTACGTGCACACATTGGTGCTGGGGTATTCTCTTCAGATTGAATCGAGCTTTTTTCACCTCTGGCCCAGCACATTACACGGCAGGTGTTTTGCCTTAACAGCTGAAGAAAGACACTTTCCTTATATTTATATCTACACTTATATTTACCCGTTATTTTTAATTTGCGGTAATGGGGATATTTTCTGACCTTCTTTGCTTTTTAGTCAGGCTCTCCAGAATAATTCCAGTCTTCAGGGCTAACAGTTCTTCTGTATTCCACCTATCTTCCTTTGTCGTTGTTTCCTTTCCTGCTGTATCACATAAGAAGTGCTACCGTAGTTTAGCCTGTGGTAGTCTCTTCTACTTTTTGAGCTCTCCTAAACCAAGAAGGTTACTTTCTGCTTGACAGTTAAACCTTAAGGCATTTCACACTGTCCTGAGCCTAATCCTACACTGAAAACCTGTCTCCACACTGGGTTTTAAACGGATTGTAATCTCAGTGGAAAAAATGCTGTTTGCGGATCACTTGTTCAAGGATGCTGATGTTTAGAGGGGACATATATTGCAGCTGCAGTCCACAAAAAGAGCAAGTAAATGGCAAGTGCTGCATTATAAATGATTGGCCTCTTTTTTTTGACATTCACTGCACCAGACTGTTTGACATCGCTTCACTTATTGCCTGTGCTTGTGAGCTATGGCTCTTTACTAATGACTGTAACCAAACTGAGTTCAAATCCAAAGTGTGTGCTGAAGTAGATCACACAGTCTCAGCACAGTAATAGATAAATCTTTGCAAACGTAACTTAGACAGGGTGGCAAAATAACACCAGAGAAATGCTACAAGGCTGGTGTTTTGCATTGGCTGGATTGGTTAATTTTCAGAGATGGCACTGAATTTCAAAGTATCTTTTGGCTTGTAAGCAGTACAGTATTTTCCTACCCTTTCTACAGTATAATTGGCTGAGTGTTCATGAGCAGCACCCGCGCATAAATGTGAAATGTGTGTTTGTCTGTGTGTTGTAGGCCAGACTCTGCTGATGGCTTCCTCCCCAGCCTCTCCAGCAGCAGGAAGGGAGAAAAGGACTGGGAAAACGGATCCACAACTTCCTCTGTTACATCCAACACAGAGTACACCGGTCAGCCAGCGTAGCACATTTCTTCTATAGAATATGTACAGTATTTCATGCAAATGTTGAAATGATCAAATATGTATAACATAAAAGTACTAAATGCTAACATTACAGTATATTCTAATACTTAAGGACTGTTTTTAGTTTTTTATACATCCATTTTGATAGAGCTTCCCTTCACACAGTTCGTAATGCTAAATTGTCTGTTGTGTGAACAGTCTTTCTGACATGAATACTGTTTTCTCATCTTATATTCCTTTGTCAGACTGACCGGTAACACAGAAAAATACTACCAGTCAAAACTTTCATACTCGGTTTATCAAGAGACAGAGCAAAAATAGGGAGGGAAGCCTTTTCTTTGACATAACTTGAGTAGTCGCCATAACAACAGTCTCACCCTCAGGTTCTGTCCTATGTTCTCATTCAGGACCAAAGCTATATAAGGAGCCCAGTGCCAAATCTAACAAGCACATAATCCAGAATGCGTTGGCCCACTGCTGCCTAGCAGGCAAGGTCAACGAGGGGCAAAAGAACAAGATCCTGGAGGTAAGATTTTGTAGCTTTTAACATACTGTGTTATACACTGTACAGCTGACTGGGAAAACCAGCGAAGTGAAATGACTGAAATTATTTTCTTATACTGATGGAATCACTTTTTTTCAATTTCACTGACACTCACAGTGATTCACAAAAAATATTCTTATGCTCCACCACAGGAACTGTGTACAAAAACTATTTGTTTACTCAGAGAACTTTATTTTTAAAATTCAATATTTTACTCATAGACTTGGGTAAACATAGTTTTAAATAGCTCATGAGAGTCAAATATCACCAAAACCTGTGCCTTCCTTTCGCTGTCATAACCTTCATATTTTATCTAATGAGCTTTTCTCCCCTGACCTTTACAGGAAATGGAGAAATCTGGAGCCAACAACTTCCTGATTTTGTTTCGTGACGCTGGCTGCCAGTTCCGATCTCTCTACACTTACTGCCCGGACACAGAAGAAATCAACAAGCTGACTGGCATCGGCCCCAAGAGCATTACACGCAAGATGATCGACGGCCTCTACAAGTACAACTCAGACAAGAAGCAGTTCAGTCAGATACCAGCTAAAACCATGTCGGCCAGTGTGGATGCAGTGACAATACACAACCACTTATGGCAAACCAAGAAGCCAGCCACCCCTAAAAAAGTTGTGCCTGCCCAATCCTAGGTTGCACTTCACTGTACGTATCCATGAAGATTCAAACACCTGCAATGGCAGTCAATTGATTTTTATGTTTGTTCATATTTCTTTTTCACTGCACTCCTATCCTTGATTATGAACAACTGGAATGTATGCCAGTGTTGAAGACTGATTTAAATGCTTACTACATCAGTGTTTCTAGAGATTGTCACGTTTGCGAAAGCATGTGTGAGCGTTGTTCTCGTTTCCTATGTGCCAAACATCAAAAAGAGACAGGATGAATGCTAGGATATTTTACTTGGTACACTGAAGCACTGAATGTTTTTAACTAATGTACAGATTGAATTTTGTTTGCATTACCCTGTTGATGTGTGGCCTTATGTGTGTTTTGTTAACGTGCAATGAGGCGATTGTAAAGCAACATACTGTATATGTGGAGGCTTTTTTGTACTTGAAAGAACAAGTTTTTGTCATCTCTGTGGGTAAAACAGTTTGTATATTAAGGTACGTGAAACTATGAAGGGCCAAAAAATTTATGACATACAGCTAGCGTTAGCCACACAATACGTGTGTGTTCAGCTCAACAAAGCCAAGTGGTTTCAGCTTTTTCAAAACCCTTTTTGAGAAAGTGATTTTAAAGAATACATGATTGGTGGATCAGGACATCTGCAGATGATCTGAGCTATAATGTAGGATGTGTGAAAAAAGCCTGTAATCTCTTTCTCATGAAATACAGTATACTGTAACCTCAAGATTTGTGCCAATAATTAAGTAAAACTGCCTGACAGTGAAAAGAAAAATCATGTTCAGAGTTAACCCACTGGTTCCTTGTAGAACGGCTTTACAAGGAGACCTAACTCGAGCTAAAACATGTTGAGAACCAGTGTTTTACATTACATTGCTGTTGGTTCACAGCAGGTTTGTGAACAGCTCAGTATTATTTTTTCTTTTTAATATACAGTACACCTTGTAGGATCTTTGCAGTATATTAGGATAATGTACACTCACACTTTCATCTTCTTGTATCAGGAATATTACTGAAATCCAAGACATACAGTAATTGACTGACTGTATTAAATTCTAAATTTATACTTGGACTACACATCTTAATAATGTCTGCACTCATGAAACTATAAGGCATTTTTGCTCCCTGAAGTACCAAAAAGTAGTAACATAGTGCATCCCTAATACCAAGTGTAGATTTGTGATTAGTCTTGCATCACTGTAATTTAATGCCTGGTTCATAAAAATGGCCACATTGTTTTATAATGGTTGTCACTTACAACATGTCTGTGCATTTTTTTGCTCTTTTGTCACACAAATGTGTAATGACCCAAACTAAACATTATCTAAGTGTGTTATTAGCAGTACATTTGTCTTTCATATATAAATGCAACATGTTCTAATTAGGCCAGTCATTTTGTTAGATTTATTTTTTTCTATTATTAAAAGAAGAAACTTTACATCATAACGCAAGGCCGACTAGTGCAGATTCATATTGCCGCATACGGGTAAGAGACTCACCACAGAGTTTCATTGGTGTCAGTATCATGTTCCTTTTGCAACAGAATATCAACTCAACACCACGCACAGGTACCCTTTTCCAGCAAAACAAATCGACCCCCATGGTGCTTTGTTTTCAACTAAAGGGGATGTTTATGACCAAAAGAGAGCATATACTGTTAGTACATGTCTTTGAAAATGTAAAATAGTATGACAGAGTGAAGAAGTGTTTTTCTGTTTATCAGAAGGATTTGTCCACAGAAAGCTCTGTCCACCTGCTTTTGGCTGTTTAAGGCCGAGGTTTATCTGTAATGATACTGTATAGTTTGTTCATGTGATCTCACACCTATTCACTATGATGTCATTGCTTTGTTTGTCAGACGATGTGCTGTCATTCAACATCTTTCTAAACGTGTACTTTTTCCTTCTTTCTTTTTTTTTGCCTTTTGCATTCAATAAAACTAAGCATAGCCTCAGTTGTGTTGATTGTGAAAACATAGTTTATATTATATGGAGATTTCCAAGCAGGAAAAGTGAACAGCTCCTCACCCTAAGGGAGTCAAAGACCCTGGCGTCACTGCATCTCAATTGGCTGTATAGGCCTCTACATCAATTAAGAAGGGTCTAGTAGTATTACTGAACTGTGGGGCCCTGTGTCAACACTTGTTTGTACACAGAGAACCTGAGACTACTGTGCCAGTTACTAGCAGCAGGCCTATAAAGTAGGCTAATTAATTATAAATCATAAATTATTATGAAATTGGCCATAATAGTAGGTTATAACTTGTGATAGTTGAAATATTTTAATGCTAGTAATGACTTAAATGTTTAATAACAGGGTGATCATATAGCCTACTTCTTTCACTAAAGCGTTACATCCACTAGTTTGAAGGGGATACACATTTTTTCATTGTTTTATTTTAATTTTTCTGGCTTGTCTGCGCCGTGCAGTAGGTGTGACCACAGGGCGTCACAGCTGACTGGTGGTTTGCGACTGCGTCCGCATGGCAACCGCGCGCTGTGCGCAAGCAAGGAGCAGGTAAATGGGAGCTTGCTGGAAGCACAGATAGGGATTTCATCGTTCACAGACGCCTTTTTGACCGGTTCTTCGTCGGTACTGTTACATTTGGAGACTGTCAACAGCGTGGAGGGGCTTTAATGCGGCGTGCTGTTGACGCAGACTGACAGGTGAGGAGTTGACGGTGGCGCGTTAGCCTGTAGTAGTAATGCACGATATCCCGCACATACTCAGGTAAAAATGAATGCCGACGTTAGTTTCAGTTGTCCTGCATGCGTGTAAGTGTGCGCTAATGTGACGTGTCTTTACGCTCAAGCAAACAGGATGCGTACAGCGCAGATAAAAGTGCTGAGACTGTCAGATTTGGGCCGCAGACCTGCTGGTACATTCGAGATCAGAGCTGGGTGTTGTTCGTGGGTGTGGGGAGGAACAGGGCGGCGTCGCCGGCTGCTCGCCTCCAGCAGACACCGGGAGGCATCGCTGCTCTCTCAGCCTTTTACTGCTTGTACACAGACATCATGCATCATGCGTAATACTTGCCTGTGATGTTGCAGAGGTTAATCATTTATAGACCGACCTTTGCGCACTGCATTCTTTGATATTTCATAGCAATGAACTCACATACACACTTAAAGTCAATTTAGGAGTTTTACAGAAATAAATTTGGTGATGCAGGTTATTAAATGTTGTAGATTTTTGTGTGCTACAGATATCTGACCCACCGTGTTTTTCTAATCCAATAAGGGTCTTGTGATTTTAACTTTAATATTATTTGTCTGCAAAACATCTCAAAACCTTTAAAACAGAGACTTTAGGTCACATATTAATGATTAATTATTAATGATATGAGATTTCTGTGTTTACTAAATATTATTTTTAAGTAGTAACCATGACAGTCGCACAGAGACTAAATACTGATGAAATCTTTTTAGTTCAACTATTTAACCTTTCTTTTTGGCTGTGCCATCCGCTAATTTAATAAAGGAAGGAAGCATTGTACTGAAGTAGCACAGAGAAATGTTCGAAGTGTAAGATTTTTCTCTTTTGATGCACCTTAGACAACAGCATGCCTAGGTCCTCTTCCTTCTCTGTGTTCTAGCCAGCTCTAAGCTGCCACCACAGATCTGTAACCATGACAGCTGAAGAGACAATCAACATCAAGGAGGCGGAGGTGATCAAGTTGATCCTGGACTTCCTCAACTCCAGGAAGCTGCATATTAGCATGCTGGCCTTAGAGAAGGAGAGCAGTGTCATCAATGGCCTGTACTCTGATGATATGCTTTTCCTCAGGTGACATGACAATGTCAACACACTCACATGACACAAAGGAGAAGACCAGGGTGTTCTGACAGGACAGATTAGACTAGGTTTACAGAGATTTCAGTCTCCACTGGTGAATGCTTTTTTTGTGCTGTATTGCTTATAACAGGGCTAAAGTCAGTGTTATCTTATTTCAGCATTTATTTATTGCAGCACTGTTATGGTACCAAGGTTTGCAGAGGCCTCTTAAATTGTTAATTTGCTGTTTTCAACAGGCAGCTCATTCTAGACGGTCAGTGGGAGGAGGTAATGCAGTTCATTCAACCTCTAGAAGGAATGGACAAGTTTGACAAAAAAAGGTGAGAGAAATAATGTGGGGATTACTCCATCTATGGACAGGTGACTGATTAAAGGAAAAGCTTGGATAAATGACTAGTCACCAGATCTCAACCCAGTTGAATGCCTGGTCTGACATGTTAGACAGCATCTCCATCACCACCATCCGTCATCGGTGACCAGGTTGGATGTGCCAGTAAATTACGTCAAGTTCCGATGCTGTAATGCCATAATGATGTCGTATACAGACAGCCTCTGTTTCTCACTGAACAACAGACAAAAATAATCCAGGAAAAGTCATATGAGGGTTTATCAATATGTACTATGGAGTACTTTTCTTAATGCTGATATTTGTGTTTCAGGTTCCGCTATATCATTCTGAAGCAGAAGTTTCTGGAAGCTCTGTGTGTAAATAATGCAATGTCTGCTGCTGAAGACCATCACAATGTATGTATATATTTAACTGGAAAACTAGTATGCATATGTGTAATTTAGAAGTAGTCTGACTAGGTTGACCAAGTTGGGAATAGCAGCCTGATAACTCCCTGCTCTGATGGAGCTGCTTCATGGTTAGTAGGAGCCTGATTTGGGATGTAAAGCCTTATATGAATATTTGGATACAGTGTACTGTAGATGATCTTAAACATGAATGGTTCCAGCAAGAAATTGGTATTGCTATTTAGAGATACTGTATGTACATACAGGTCATCTCACTTTCTGTGTCCTGGTTAAAGGACAAGATCTCTAACCACTTCAACAAACTGGGTGTTTTTATAATATTGTTGGCTTCTGTTTTTCACAGTTTTCCACAGTTTTAAAAGTAGCCATTTTTACTACAAACTGTTTACATGACAAATGGTGTCACCATCGAAATACATTTTTTGCAGAGTAAAAGTGCTTCAAAAACATAAGAATATCATGGGGCATGTGTACTTTCCACTTAAACCCAAATAAATACACTTGAGTTTGCAGCTCCTTAAGCCTAAAGGTCTTTTGAACACTGGCTGATACATGTTTTACATCACCAGACAAATACCAGTGTGATTCTACTAAAACCACAGCCACATACTGAAAATCCTCAGATTTTATTTTTATTTTTTTACCATCTACAGTTAGAGCTCAGCATGCAAGAGGCAGTCAAGTGCCTCCACAGCCTGGAGGAGATCTGCCCGTCCAAGGAGGACTACAGCAAGCTGTGTCTTCTCCTCACCCTACCTCGCCTCACCCACCACGCAGAGTTCAAAGACTGGAATCCAAGCACGGCACGTGTCCATTGCTTTGAGGAAGCCTGTACTATGGTAGCTGAGTTCATCCCTGCAGACAGGAAGCTGAGTGAGGCGGGCTTCAGAGCGAGTGGGAACCGCCTCTTCCAGTTGCTCATCAAAGGGATCCTTTATGAATGTTGTGTCGAGTTCTGTCAGGTAATACGACCCCTAAACATTGAGAGTGTTACTAGGAAACTGCAGTGGCTGTTAATCTTGCAGTGAATGGTTCATGAACGGCCTAGAGGTACTTGACACTGATCCTGATCATGCTGTTTCTGTTTTCTAGAGTAAAGCCACTGGTGAGGAGATCTCAGAGGGCGAGGTATTGCTCGGTGTGGATTTGCTGTGCGGGAATGGCTGCGATGAACTGGATTTGTCGCTGCTATCCTGGCTGCAGAACCTGTCCTCAGGCGCCTTCTCGTGCGCCTTCCAACAGAAGACCCTCAACATCCACGTGGACCGGCTGGTGAAGCCCAGCAAAGCAGGCCACGCCGACCTCCTCACTCCATTAATCAATCGCCTGTCCCCCTGCTCTACCTCACCCTTCCGCCAGAGGCCTCATTCAGCTGACACCTATATGTCCAGATCTCTCAATCCAGTTCTCGATGGTCTGTCCCATGGTCTGGCAGCGCAGGACAAGAGAGGTATGGGGGCAAACATGAAGTCTGCTCTCAGTCGGAGCCTAGTGGAGAATAACGTGCATCAGCAGGATGATTCACCAGAGAGGTAAGGGTCAAAGTTTTCGATCATAATCCCTGTATTGTATCACCAGATTCTTGCCAGTACACAGCCCTATATTAAACCCAATGAGCTGTCTTGTTGTATGACACAGTCAGAAGCTCTATAAATCCCATTAGCCATGCTTTAACAGAGATATATTGCCTTATTTGTCATCTCCCAAAGTGGTGCACAAAGCACATTGTCCTGCAGCTGAATGTGATGGGTGCACTGTAATTTCAACCCTTCATAAATTTAAATCTTACAAATATGCTTAATTAAAATAAAACCCCTCTTTTTTTAAGCAGTGTTACTTTTCCAAATAATAAGGTAGATTAGGGCAAATATCCTACAATAAGCTTGGTCAAGGGGTACTTAAGTAGCTGACCCTAAAATGTTAATGCAGATATTTTTCCTCATTGAAATAGTACAAGTTTTCCCTTTTCAAATGTTTGTGCTGGTGTCTCCGTGGCTCAGACCATTTCTGCAGCTCCTGTGTTCATGTTTGCTTTGGGACCTTAGTTATATTATCCCTCTCTTTTTCTTGCCAATCTGTGCATAAAGTCCATCAAATTATTAAAGGTGAGTTGACAGGTTTGCTATACAGGGTTAGTGCAGAGAAAATGCTTCACAATTTAGTAATAGGCAGAGATGTGGTTTGAGGCATCAAATCAAAGAACAGCTGACTGAATAGTTGGTCATGTTGTTGGATGTTGCCAGGCTCCCTCTGGCTCCACCTGCTGGATGCAGTTATTTCACACAACTGATACAAAGTGAGGTCACTACTTAACCATTTCACTGCAATGAATCTAATATATAACAGTGAACGCATTCTTCAAGTGAAAACAAACCCAAACATATTTCACGTATCGTTTTAGTGACGAGCTGTTGCTTTGACATAGCATTCTTGAAGTGAAAACACACCCAAACATATTTCACGTATCATTTTAGTGACGAGCTGTTGCTTTGACATTTTACTTTGTTACCACTGGTTAACAAGTGATATCAGTTTGTAACAATTACTATTTCTTTAAGCTGGCTTCAAGTTACATGAAGTGTTTCTAGTTTTTGGCCTTCACTGTTTTGTCTTGCTTCTTACTTCACCTCAAATCAATTTGAATTTTAAAATTTGGTTGTGAATTGACATAGGAAACACCCACAAGGCCTGGATGGTCCCAACACCACACATACACCCTTGACCCCTGGAAAACAAGGTGGGCCACCCTGCAGCACGGAAACAAATGAGGTAATACAAACTGCAGACCGTGAGCAGGATATTATGGTACAGTATGTATGGTGATGGTGCGTGTATTATAGACCAGAGATCAGTGATAAGCACAAAGACTTTTCATATATTGAGGAGTGGATCTCACCCTCTGGTTGCCCAAGCTAAATTGCTTTCTTGACTCTTGTGAAGATTGTTAAAAGAAATAGCAAACGTTGTCTATCTGGTTACTTGAGCCAAAGTCAGCAAGGTTTTCTCTCAGTCTTCCCTTCCACAGTCATTAATCCAGATTTAAGAGATTTAGAACAGATTCCCCTTGGACCTCTGATCCTTCCACAACCTCATAAATCCTTCCCTAATTCTCTGCCACAACTGTTCAAGGGATACTTGCCCCCTGCTTCCCATGTCCCTCTAAATTGGATGCAGGTCATGGACATTAGAGACAGATAATCTGGTGTGATGTGCAGTCATACCTGAGATGGCCTACATCCACCATCACTCATCTTTAGCCATCCTAGGTCCCATTTAGAGGAGCAAAGTAGCTTGAGTTTGGATTGGTATGATGAGAAACATGGTCAGACCTTTTGGGTATGATGACGTCCTTGGAAACTTTTTATGGGATGGATTGAGGATAAGGCCCTGGAAGATGAGGAGTTGTCAGTAGTAGCTTCTGAGAGAGAGTTTGTCAATTAAAATGTGTGTGTGTGTGTGTGTGTGTGTGTGTGTGAACAATAATGAGCAATGCCAAGCTTTGAAGAAGAGAAAGCTGAAAAACAGTAATTCATATGCTGTCATTCAGATTACAGGCTAATACATCATATCAGAGTATTACTTCAGAGATTTCTATATGTACTGCTAAAACAAGACTTCAGGTTGACTTACTGTGTACTTGTGTGTGTTTGTCCAGTGCCACGACTCCACAGAGTACATACAGGAGTATTACAGGCAGCGTCTCCGCGTGCAGCAACATCTGGAGCAGAAGCAGCAGCAGAGGCAGCTTTACCAGCAGATGCTGCTGGAGGGAGGGGTGAAGCCGCAGGATGGAGCCCAACACAACCTCACTGAGACCTTCCTCAGCAAGTAAGGAAGTCAAATAAAATTTTCAGAATTCGTGGTTTAGTGAATAAAAGCCTCACAGCCTCAGTGCAACATGAAATCTTATCTTTGTTTAGATCCATTCAGAAGTTGGAGGAGATGAATGTGGGCATTGACCACAGAGGAGATGAGGCGATGGCACATCTGGGACAGCAGTGGAACGGACTGAGTGGGAACAGCAGCACCTCTAGCCCCAGAGCTGCCGACATCCGCCACGTGGCAGACACAGGGCCCCCGAGGGACAAGCCAGGGGGGCTGCAGCACCCCAGCGCCAGCAGTACCACATTAAGGACTGGGAGCCACAGCTCGCCTTACCCGAGTGAGTCTCCAGTTAACGCCAGTCAGAGGTAAGAGCCTGCTGAATGTCTGATTACTGTTCATTCCCAAAACATTGACATCATTAAAACTAGTCTCATATTTGGTTTGAATTTTGATAGGATAACAGGCGGTGTGTCTCTTTTAGTCAAGTCATGCTTGAGCAGTTTGATGAGTGGTTTCTAGTCATCCTAAAGCTGTTTCTTATAAATTGGTGAGCTCAGTGAGACATTTCCTTCATGCCACTCTTTATATTCAGGCTGCACTAAAAATCCACTATGATAGAAACCCAAGAGAAATGTCATGTGCCCTGTTGTCAGATTTTTGAGAAAGGAAATTGCTTAACAGGTAATCTGTCTTTGTGTGTGTGTGTTGTGAATACCAGTGCTGAGAGAATACGACAGCCTTGTCCCGCCTCTCAAGATGATTCTAGCTGCTCTGTGATACGCAACACACATGAGGTACAGCAAACTACTGACAAAACAAACGTCAGTCAGCCTCTGTTTTTCTTAAGTTGTCTATAGCTTTATGTTGCTTGCTGTTTGACATTATCAGGTTTAGTGTAATAAATCCTTAAACTTTTTACCGTCCTAAAGTTGTTTAGCCTGAATTTAATCTAAAGTTTAGGTAAAACTTTGTGATGACAGGTGATAGATCATATTTCTGAGGCCATCTTCTTGTACAGCCAGGGAAGCCCATAACCCAGTTTGTTAAAGTGAGCCAGCTCGAGGACACACAGGCGGTACGCGCGGTGGCCTTCCATCCCTCAGGAGCATTCTATGCTGTCGGCTCCAACTCAAAGACCCTGAGAGTCTGTGCCTACCCAGAAACCCTAGCTACCAGGTAGGAGCCATTCACACAGATTCAAACCATGACACACTCCTATAACGTATTATTTATGTACTTGGATAATGATGGAAGCTGGTGGCATGCAAAGCATTACCAAAGTTAACACATTTAGACTGAATGGATAAGATTGGTCATGTTCTATATTAATAGTATTTTCAACAATCCCCATACAGAGACTAAAACCTACAATGAATTGCCTCTATTCACAATTAATATACTAACTATCAGTGTCCACCCTGGTTTAGCTTATTTGTCTGTGCCCTAGACCTCTGTTGTTGTTCAAAAATAATTAAAAACACCCCAGTGAAACACACCACTGTGCTGGGTGACAGGTTTCTTCATTACGAAACACAAGACTGGTATATTTGTTTTAAATATGCAGGTCTTGTGTTTTCTAATGAAGAAATCTGTCACCCGGTGCAGTGGTGTGTTTCACTGCTGTTTTTGATCAACATCCGAGGTCTATGGCAAAGACGAATAAGCTATGTTTGACCAGGCAGAGAAAAAGGTTTGAGTGTTGGGTCATCCTGAAAATTCGAGTTTCAAATTCTCTACAACCATTACCTTGCATTTAAAACCACTTCTTGCACAGCTCTGAATCTGTCTGTTGTATTTTCTTGACTCGTTCAGTGCTACTGGTACAGTCAAGCAGCCAGCGGTGCGCTTTAGGAGGAACAAACACCACAAAGGCTCAATCTACTGTGTAGCCTGGAGCCACTGTGGACAACTGCTGGCCACCGGCTCCAATGATAAATATGTCAAGGTCCTACCTTTCAATGCAGACAGCTGCAATGCCACAGGTACAATTTGATGTTTTAACTGTGCTTCTAAAAACATTGACCATGTAAAATACAAGTTGAAGCATACTGATTGAGGACAGACTCAGTTGGACTGGGGCTATCTGTTTGTTACCCCAAATATGTGCCTCTCATTCAGGGCCAGACCTGGAGTTCAGCATGCATGATGGTACCATCAGGGACCTGGCTTTCATGGAGGGCCCGGAGAGTGGAGGATCCATCTTGATCAGCGCTGGGGCAGGAGACTGCAACATCTATACTACTGACTGTCAGAGAGGACAAGGCCTTCACGCCCTGAGCGGACACACCGGTGCGTGACGGAAAACAGTCTTGATGAACCAATAGGGGTTTGGAATCAGTTTATAAATATGACAGATCATTTACACAGAACCTTCATAAACCTCTGAGAAAAATACATAATTTTTTCTGCAACAACAAGGTAAAGATGTTCCATGTATGTAAGACTTTGCCATTTTGCTTGAACAGGTCACATTTTGACTCTGTACACATGGGGAGGTTGGATGATTGCCTCTGGCTCACAGGACAAGACAGTACGCTTCTGGGACTTGCGGGTGCCCAGCTGTGTTCGTGTGGTGGGTACAACTCTGCACGGCTCAGGTAAGTCATATCATGACTTTCATTAGAGCTGATCTATTATTTAGCAGCAAATCAGCTGAACTACATGGCTACAGTTACAGTTAACCCACAAGAAGGTACATTAACTTCAGATTAGGCACTTCAAGCAAGTCTTATTGAAAGCTCAAGTTACTTGTACCTAAATTAAAAACAAAAAACACAAAGTAGAACACATTAGTTGGGGCGGCTGTGGCTCAGGAGGTAGAGCAGGTCGTTTCCTAACCGGAGGATTAGCGGTTCGAATCCCGGCTTGTCCAGTCAACATGTCGAAGTGTCCTTGAGCAAGACACTAAACCCCCAGTTGCTCCCGGTGATGTCACCGGTGTGTGAATGTGTGAGTGTTTGGGAGTGCGAATGAGTGAATGGCCAAATAGTGTGAAAGCGCTTTGAGTGTGCTGTAAAGCATAGAAAGGCGCTATACAAATATAAGACCATTTACCATTAGTTCATGAAGAAAAAAAAGTTGTAAAATACCATATCTTATAGTCTGTCCAAATCTGGAAGCAGATCTGCACTCAGAACTGATCCCCTGTTTGATTTAAAATGCATCAGTGGCTCCTCACTGAGATAAATCAGTCCATAGTTCTCAGTTTTGGTGAAGCTACTTTGAAAACATAGCTTTGCATACTACCAATTATTCCACAAAAAAGTCACATCAGCAAAAAAATGACCATAAACCTCTCTTAAATAAAACATTCCTATCTGGGCTTTTCACAAGGACTGTTATATTTTTGTTGTAAACAAATCTGGATTTTGCATTATTAATTACAACTCAAACAGTAAAGAAAACAAATTAGAGGATCTTATCTTGCAATTATGACTATTGTAATTGTGTGTTCAGGATCTCAGAATGAGATCTTTTCTTGTAATTATGAGATAATACAGGGGTTAGAACGCTGCAGAATTTGCCTGAAAATCATCAGGTTGTAACAAATTCTTTAGTATCAAAGTGATTTCAATAATAGCTGTCAGTACATCCAATAGTGCATAGCAAAATAAGCTGTTAATAGCTAATTCAGCATAGTTAGTGTTCCAAAACAAATAAATATAGACTAAAAATGGACTTCAAAGTTGCTGCCAACAGTTTAACTCACTAGGCTACATATACTGAGCAGGATTTCTTAAGTATTAACACAGTAGAATACTACATAGCAGAAATGAACTGATAATAGGTAAGTTGGTGTACTTGGAATTCCAGAACATAAACAAATATAGACTACAAATGGGGCCAAGCTGCAGCCCACAGTAACTCATCTATGGCAACATTATAGCCTTCTTGCTGTTTCTTGTAAAAGTAAGATATGTGCACATAACTATCACTGAATTACTCTGATACTAAAGAATTCATTAAAACCGGATTATTTTCAGGCTGGTTCTACAGCGTTCCAACCCTTGCATCACCTCATAATTACAAGATCATGATTTCGTAATTATGAGATCCTGTAAGTCATAATTACGAGATAAGATCCTCCATTTTTTGGGGGGGTGAATGCAGTGCATTTCTGTAACATCTGACTTGTACAATCTTAAATAAACAGTCTTCAACTTGCACCTTTTTAGACAGTACGAACAGCTTAAACACTGGTCTTAAAAAAATGGGCCTATCATTGTCAGAGCAGAATCTCTTGTTTATGACATACAAGCAGTCTGTCAAAAGTTCTTATCCAACACTTGGCTCTGTTTAGCACTGAAAATGTTCTTCCCAATGCTCAAAACCAGTCAAAAACAGCATGGTAATGTAAAACAATTTAAAAAATCATTCCTTTCCGTTTGTAGCCAAAAATAGTTTGTAGTTTCAGTAGTTAACATCTGAAAAAAAATAGCAAAAAAGTATTTAACTACTTGAATCACTATGCAAATATGTAGCTGAACTACTGCAAAATGTAGTTAAATTACATGTAGTTCCCCAACACTGTTAGTTCTTCTGTTCATGAGGCTAAATCTTGGTAAAGAAAAACTAAATCAGGTAGTTTTAAGCAGTATGCACACACAGCAAACGTGTTACCTATCACCACTGTGACCCATACAGGAAGTGCCGTTGCTTCAGTGGCAGTGGATCCCAGTGGCCGCCTGCTGGCCACTGGTCAGGAGGACAGTACCTGCATGTTGTATGACATCAGAGGAGGCCGAATAGTCCAGACATACCGCCCCCACAGTAGTGACATTCGCTCTGTGCGCTTCTCTCCTGGTGCCCATCATCTTCTGACTGGATCCTATGACAACAAAATAATCATCAGTGACCTGCAAGGTAGCAACTCATGGGAAGAGAAAGAAATAAAATACACACACTGTATCACAAGGGGTTAGAAAGTTGCAGTGTCTGGTGTTTGATTGCTCTTTGTGATGATTTTTTTTCTGACCCCAGGTGACCTAACAAAGCCCCTCCCTCAGACAGTAGCAGGGGAACACTGGGACAAGGTAATCCAGTGTAGGTGGCACCCCCACGCCCGGACCTTCCTGTCCTCCTCTGCAGATCGAACTGTTGTCCTCTGGGCTCCAGGCCCCTGAGAATCCACTAGCCTAACACTGGTTAATCTCAGCGGCAACAGCAAGCACAAGAACACTGACTGCATACATCCCAGCATAGGATCAGTAAGTTCTGTGGGGTGCGTATCTGTGTGCATAAATACTGTGAGGATCAAGTTGTTTATATGTTGCTCAGTTCAAAGTTAAGTGTGTGTCTGTATATAAATTGTGACAACTTTGATGCAGAAAATCTGGTCACTTTAAAAATAAGTCTATAATTAGGTGTGTGTGTGTGTGTGTGTGTGTGTGTGTGTGTTTGAATACTACTGTACATGTCAGTGTGTGCGATCAAACATGGCAATCTAGAAATAAACGTGTGTGCATTTGGCTTTGTAGTTTTAGTGTAATGAAAGTTAAACTACAGGAGAATAAGAACATTTTTCAAATGCTATAAAAAGGAAAAAAAAAACAGTTTCTTCTAGTTGGAATCATTGTGAGGTTAAATACTTAAATATTTAGGGTTTATGTATGCTTGCCTACACCATTTCTGCTTTTGTCTTTTATAAGTAGAACATAAAAGATTAAATGACACAGATGATGATGGAATCTAGAGATGACTGATAATGCCTGTACTGAAAGCAATGATTAAGTTCACTGCAAGCACACACACTGAAGTTAGAGAAGCTCTTTTCTCAAATTGCCAAACGTCATCTATAAGTCAGCCATAGTCAGAACTTAGTACAAAATGTGAAGGTCACTTTAGAACAGATGTACTAGTGTTTGGTGCCACACGACATATCAAGCTTTTAACACCGACTCGTTAAAGCACTGCTGCTTCTATAGTTTCTCTAGAAAGTGACCTTTATGTTGTGGATAGAAACCACATTTGGTTATGCATATCATATTGTGCCTTTTTGTAACATTTGTAAATTTTTTGATATGTGGATAAATTGATTTTTTTTTTTTTATTTGCTTTCTTATTTGTCCAGATGCTTTGTCAAGTTTTAATTATTGTAATGCACAAAATGATCACCCACTGGCATTTGGGATTTTATACAAGTGTGGACAAAGTGCTTTTGATGGAAGTAGATCCCCACCATAACATTTGAGGGCCTGTCCTTACAAATCTGTGTCTGCAGTGCTCTCAGATTCTGAGTTGCAAATGGAATAGTGCTCAACATGTGGTTTGTGAGCCCTCAAATGTTTTGTCAGGGTTCTACTTTCATGCAGAAATATGACTAGTTCCTGTAGGAGCTCAGTCACTGATCAGCTCATCACGTCACAATCCAGTTTTTTTTTTAAAACAACGATTGAGTAATGAGAACAGGTGGTCCTGAAGACATTAAGAAATATAGTTACACTGCAACCAAACTGTCTCAGGACGACAGCAATTATCTTCTAAAATGATCAAAGAAATGAGAGAGAATGTTGACAAGCCAAAGTCAAGGCAAAAGTAATGATGCACTTTAAAGGTGGAAATGCTGCTACTTACAGAGTGGAATGATGAATCTGGTCCCATTTTAACTTTTTTCAAATAATGATCTGATTTCATCTTCACTTTCACTGAGTACCTACACAGAAACCTGATGGATGTAAGAAAGGAGGTGGTATGGGAGAAAATATACGTCATAGTTTGTGTTATGCATATTTTACATGGTCTATGGCTTACAGTGGCAAATTCAGCATCATTGTCCACCTGTGTGGTTTAAAACAAGGTTTGTGCACACAAATGTGTAACAATAGAACTGCCAAGGGGTCAGTGAAGTTCACACTGTTTAATAAAATAGTGACTAATATCACATGTCCTTGCTTTTTAATCAATAAAAGTATTTTTAAGTTATATTTGTGTGGATGCTGAGTCAGCATACAGATTAATACAGAAACTGTACGGCCCCATCACTGTAAGAAGTCTACTGAAATAGATATTTATTAGGGCTGCACGATAAAAGCCTCTATGTGTGTGATTTAGATCCCTGTGTAATCTCAGCCTCGTGTGACAATGATGTGAGAAACTGAAACCAGAAAACGTTCTAAATGTGTGCCTATATGGCAGCCGGATAGCTCGGTAGTTAACACCACTGTATTTGCTACGGCTCTGTGTGCTTGTCTGGGACTGCGGTAACCGTCAGCTCTTACCAACACTTCAGCTTTCCTTCAGCCTTTCCTGATGTAAACAGTTCTAATCCAGTGTCTGTTTTATTTGTAGTTACTGCGCATCTCTAAAAGATCAACCGTGCCAAGACTGAGTTATGCTTCTTTCTTTAAAGCATAGCACTCAGAATATACTGCAACCCCCCTAGGGACTACAGTATATCCAGAGATAGAGCTGGCAGAGAGACAGGTTCACTGACTGTACTGCTCTCCAAATAGACTGGAGAATAATGAAAGCGAACTCACATTGATCCAAAGTTAGACACACTGTCTGACTGCTGGAGAAAGACTTTATACTGTGAAAATGTTCAGTGGTACATTTGCTGTTTGCTGAAAGGAAAACTACTGTAGCTGCTTACTTATAGCCATTATGGGTAGCTCATAGCGAAGGTTTGTATCAATATGGAAGTACCTAAACACTTGGTGCTGGTTTACAGGGAGAACAGTTCAGATTTAAAGCCTGTTATGGAAATCCAGAGTGTTCAATAATAAACAAAAACAACATTGAAATTAATAATCATATGAATAAATTGTGTAAAATACTGTATATACAGTACTTGCACAGGCAATTTGTGAAATTCAAGAAATATTAAAACTTGTCATTATTTTGAAATATCTCATCATTCTTACTTAATAGAGTTGTTAGGGGTTATTTTTTATTGTGATTGTGGACATTATTATTTCAAAGTGTTATTTTTAAAAAGTCTATTTTTATTTCATAATATCTTTTTATGTCCCTTTACTACTGTAGCCTAGATGGTGGGACATTATGTCCATGCTGCTGTCTGTGACTCTGCAATAGATGTGCTATTGAACACAGAAAGTCTAGAACAATTCAAAGCAGAAACTCTTTACTTATACATTAGATGGTCTGATAGGAATTTGCATAAATGTGCATTTTAATGAGGACCAATTTCACAAAAACTGCAGGTTAACCTAACACATTCAAATTATTACCAGATAGATACCATTATGCAGAAAGTATGTATGTTGGTAGGAAAATAATACAGATAGAATGCAGCAAACTGCAGTACAACTCATGTTAGCATCAGACCTAACATTATGACCACTGACAGGTGAAGTGAAGAACACTGATGAGCTCGTTACAGCCACCTGTCAGTGGATGGGGTTTATAAGGCAGCAAGACAACAGTGTCTAAGGAAGGACAGATGGTGAAGTGGTGACAAAGGCACAGACGTCCACAGCTCACTGACGATGAGGTTGACCTACTGTAGATCCTTTGAATTTAAAGTTTAATGTGCAGTGTTCTGTGTGAATGCAGATCTTCTTCTTCTTTCGGCTGTTCCCATTGGGGGTCGCCAGAGCAAATCATCTGTTTCCACATAACTCTATCCTCTGCATCCTCTACTCTCACCCCAATTAACTGCATGTCCTCTTGTAGCACATCCATATATCTCCTCTTTGGCATTCCTCTTGACCTCTTGACCTCTTGCCTGACAGCTCCATCTCCAACATCCTTCTACCAATATAACCACTGTGTGTATGCAGATGTTTAGCTGTTGCTCTGAGGTAGTGATGGCCATAGGAGGCCCCATGAAGCTTTGAACCCTTTTGGACCATTGTATTGAAAATTGGTTCACTACTCGAAGCTTCATTCATTGAGAATGTGGGTGACATCTGCTGGTGCAGTGGTTGTTGTGCAACCTTGCAAAGGTGACGCTGTTGTAATGTGGATATTACTTAAATAAAGCTGAAATCTAACTTCATTTTACGTGTCTGTTTTTCTTCCTTGCCTTATAAAGTATCTGAAATGAAATGTTGACTGCCTAAGTAATCCTCCTCCCATAAGAACTCTTAAGAATATGGAATGGATTTATAATTATTCATCCCAACGTACACACTAGACAGAGTAAATATGTACAGGGATCACTGAGACTGTGGATGTCATTGTTTTGACAGTATAATATATTCTGTGTTCTGATTGTGCTTGGTGTACACTGAGTGTGTTTGTTTGACTCAGGCATTTTTATTCAAAAATAATAGTGTCTCCACAGTAGATGGTTTTAGACGATGATTTCGCTTTTTTGAGACAACTTCCCCAGCTTTAGAGAAGACCTTTTCACACAGCACAGAAGATGCTGGTGTCACCAGGAACTGTTTGGCCAGGTTGAACAGGTGTGGGTACAGGGATCTGTGCCTCGACCAGTAACCTAAGGGGTCCTGTGATCTGTCCAGAGGAGGAGCAGACAGATATCGCTGAACCTCCACAATGAAATCTGCAGTAGTGTTCTGGGATTTTCTGTCATCTTCTGCATCTTTGTCAAGAAGCTTCCACAGGTCAGTGCCTGAAAATAAAACATTACAGGACATTCATAAAGCATTTCATTACATACAAATAGGCAGCACACACACACTTCCCCGACGAACACGCCATCCTGGTAGCATTAACAGGCATTGTTATACATCAGCTGTTGAGGACAGCGCAAACACTGCACCTATGAAACCACAATGAGATCTTCCGGTGTTTATTTGGAGGGGCCCGTAAATTGGACATCCACTGTATGAATAACAGACTTGACAATAAGGCTTACATCTTGGAAATATTATTTCTATTATTCGGTGGCACCAATTCAAAATGTTCCCACACTTGTGATTGTTTCCTTGATGGCTCCATAGCGAGGCAATCCAAAATGTGTTGACAAGACGTAGGACACAGCGATGTTTCATCCATCTTAAATACATCTGTATCGCTCCAATGTTTCAAAGCTCCGCCTGTCAAACCAAACCAGTCAGCTGATTCAATGTGAATGAAGCAGAAGTGGTTCGAATGTCATCAGTCAGCATAAAATAAAAACACACTGATCTGATCAATACTATATATTCATGCAAAATGTTAAGCATAATTGTTTTTGGTAAAGAATGGGTTTTCATATTTTGAAGTAGATGTTATAGTATATTGAACTGTATCATTTTATTTTTAAATAAACTCTTTCTTTCCGACTGCCATCAGACTCCTAAACAGCTGACTCAGGATCTACCTCATGTAATTCCATCTGTACCGTTTACATGCTCATTTTGCAAATGCTTGCATTATATTGTGTTCCTGTTGTACTTTTATTGCTTCCTTCATCTGCTGCTTCAAAGTGCCTTAGATTTGTGTTACTGCCTATTTAGATTTGTTATTGCTCATCTATTTTATATTTCACTTATATTGTGTGACATTCTGCACCCTGGATCACCTACAATAAATTCACAACTATTTTGATAATTGTATAGAAATAACATGAAAAGATGAGAAACAAAGGAATTAAGAAACAGGTAGAGAAGAGGAGAGGAGTTGGGTCCATAATGACATTTTAACATCTCGAACAGGTAAGTATAATTTTATTTGCTTTAATTACATTTTATATACTAGTCATAAACCAATCATCTGTGCCTTTGTTTTTAAAAACTGAGCTACAGGCCCTCTGGTCTTCTATTTATCTTTCAGAGTGAGGAGAGAGGAAGTGATGGAGGGCAGGATGAAGTGTAAGACCTTTCATGTGCATGGTAAATATCAGTTTATCTAATGATGTTAACGATTTTATGTAGTCATCGGCTCTGTTTTCATCTGAATTTCTAAATATTTGCGCCTTTGCTGGCCTGGCACTGCCTGACCCGAGTGAGACACATAAAATGTGCCATCGAAATAATTAACTACATTGTTAGCTAATCTCTGATTTACAAATGAAACTCATATTAATCCCCATATGACCCCAGAAACACACAAAGACATTCCCGGCTCACATACAGGCTGCACTATGACTCACCTACAATAAATTCGCAACTATTTTGATAATCATGAAGAAATGAAAAGATGAGAAAACAAAGGAAATAAAAAACAGGTAGAGGAGAGGAGAGACGATAGGTGCATAATGACATCTGATCATGAATCATGAACAAATCATCTGTGCCTCTGTTTTTTAAAAGGTTTTAACAACAACTCCTCTGGTATTCTATTTCTCTTTCAAAGTGAGGAGAGAGAAAGAGGTGGAGGGCAGGATGAAGTTTAAGACGTCTCATCTACATGGTAAATATCAAATTATCTAATGGTGTTTATGACTTTATGTAGTCATCACTTCCCACTTCATCTGAATTTCTAAATGATATTCCATTTTGTCTTATATTTGTTTATTTTCAGGAGTATGGAGGAGAGGAAAAAAACAAAACGAGGCGAGGCCAGGCCGGCACAGGCGCTGCTGCTGCGGGCGAACCGTGAGGGGCTCCCCTTCACGGCCCGTCCCCCGAGGGGAGCGCGCCCCCTTCGGGTCAGGCAGTGCCAGGCCGGCACAGGCGCTGGAGCGGAGGGCGGTCGGGGAG